TGCTGCCTGGCCTGCTGTGTTCCTCCAGCTCCAGCATCTGCAGTTCTAGCTATCTCTGAAGTACAATCCAAACAGCCGTGCTCACAGGAATAAAAACATTACTGATGTAGAAAGATTCAACTTGAAAAAGGTGCAAGTGTTGGGAAAATAATTTTGTATAGGTTGTATTGTAGAGCATCATATCCGTGACTTAATACAACAGAAGGAAATGTATAGCTTAGCCCAGTTCCCATAAAAATGTTTTGCTGCATATTTTGATAAGGCAATTCCTTTTTAACCACAGATAATAAGGTGTAGAGCTGGATGAACACAGCAGACCAAGCAGCATCATAGGAGCAGGAAGGCTGACGTTGCGGCCCGAAACGTCAGCCTTCCTGCTCGGCCTGCTGTGTTCATCCAGCTCTACACCTTGTTATCTCAGATTTTCCAGCATCTGCAGTTCCTACTATCTCCTTTTTAACCAGGTAGAGTGCAATTAAATGCCTAAGTATAAATCTGAATGAACAAAATAACACTATGCAAGAAACAAAAAAGATCAGGTTATTTGGAACTTACTTCCCCGAAGGTTGACACACTCCTTTTGCCAACACTATTATAGAAAAAATTTTCTGCAAAATGTAAATTCAGAGCAAAGACTTCACAGAAACTCAACTTCAGTATTTCAGGAATAAACTAATCCTATATTTCATTGTGAATTGCACATACAATTGTAGCTGTCCTAAACAAGGTCACTTTTTGAAATCACAATTCCCCTACACCATACATAACCACCACCAACACCCACCCCACTCCCCTTTCTCTAAGCCAAAAGCTTCCAAGTTTAGTTTATACAACGTGCAACATATTCGACAAGTAATTTGTAGATATTTTGATTTTTAAAAAAAAACAAATACTTGATATAAACCATGCCAATGTTAAGTAATTTAAACATATTTGTAATCTAAAATGTAAAATAGTTGACAAATATAGGCATACCTGTTAGATTGGCGATGGCCACTGGTATTCCTTGCACCTGAAGTCCTCCTGAACTCAAGCTGCCAATGTTGACTGTTTGAAGGTTAGGAACAGAGGCAAGTTGCGCAGCACTTAGATTAATGGTACCACCAGTAACAGTTACAGGGGTAATTTGGGCAATCGCTGTTTCACCAGAGTTACTTGAAGACACTGGGGTCACAGTCAGTTGTTGGGCATTCTGGATCTGTACATTTGAAAGGTTCTGGATGTTCTGCAGCTGTATGGTTTGCCAGTTTATCTGCCCAGACGGTGTGATGCTCGGTGCGCGAATGATGACCTGAGTGGGATTCTGCAGCGTGGACAGCTGAAGGGTCTGGGGCTGGACAGCCTGCAGGGCCTGGCCTTGGATGGTGGCGACGGCCTGTTGCTGCGGGATCTGCGCCTGGACGATCTGCTGCTGTTGGAGGGGAGACGGCAGCTGGAGCTGCTGACCCGCTTCTGGAAGGTTCTGCAGGCCGTTGGGCTGAGCGGCGTCCCCCTCCCCTTCGGCGGCGGCGGAGGCCTGCGGCTCCTCTTCGGTTCCCACCGGCTCGCTGAAGACGGCGTCCGAGGGCTGGAGCAAGGAGGAGGCGGCGGCGGCGGCGGTGCCTCCGGACAACGGGGAGGCGGTGCTGGCTGTAGAAGAGGCCGGTGGAGCCTGGGGAGGTGGAGATTCGGGCGTGTTGTTCACCGCCGAGGCTCCGCCGGAGATGGGCGTGGACAAGGCCTGAGCTCCGCCGTTGGAGAGGCCGCCATCCCCGGAAGGTTGGACGAACTGAATGGATCCTCCTCCGGCCGCCGCCATGTTGTTGATGGGCACGGCCAGAGTCACGCCGCCTCCCAGATTAATGGGCAGCGTGGCGACCATCTGAGCCTGAGCTCCGGAAATGTGAACACCCTGTAACTGCAGAGGGATGGACAGGCCACCGCCGCCGCTGCCGGTACCGGCCGCTCGGATCTGGATGGGCACGGTGTTAGCCAGGGACCCGGCCTGAGAGGAACTCCGGCTCGGCGGGGCCAGCAGGCTCCCCGCCGACACGATCTGGATCGACTGCTGCTGCCCCTCGGCCCCCGCCGCCGGGATCACCTGGTACTGGAGGCCGGAGGACGAGGTAGACGACGACGAGGAGGAGGCCGCCACCACCGCCCCGGAGCCCGCGCTCACCACCATGGCCGTGTTCGGGAGGCTCTGCACCGGCACCACGTTGTACTGACCGGCCGCCGACACGATAGGCCGGATGCGGTTGGGCGATCCGGCCGGGACATCCTGTCCGCTGGTACCGTTATTGCCGCCTCCGTCGTTGTTGTTGCTGCTGCTGCCGCCTCCGCCGTCGCCGCCGCCTTCTCCTTCGCCGCCGGTCGTGGCCGCCGACGCCCCTTGCTGCTGAACCGCGCCTTCTTTCGTCGTTGAGGGCCCGGCGGCGATGATCTGCCAGCCGTTTCCCGACAGCTGAGCGGTGACCAATTCGAGTTGTTGTTGTTGCTGCTGCTGCTGCTGCTGATGGACCGCTCCCGAGCCCTGGTCGATAACGAGCTGACCACCCTGGAGCGCGGTGGAGGCGGCGACGGCCGCCCCTTCCGCCGGCCCCGGGGATCCGATCTTGCTGCAAGTGGCTGCGAGGAGGGCGAGAGGAGAGGGCTGGGTGTCCTACCCACATAGACACACACAGTGGGCGGGTTTAGAAAGGAAAGAGTGGGTGTGAATTTACATTAGCACAAAAAAGGGGCTTCACTCAGGAAGTACAGAGCAATTAACGACAAAACAGTTGCATTTCGATCGTTACAACAAATTTAAAAAGCGTACATTTCTAGTTTGCTTCATCAGGAAGTAGCTGCTGAGATCTGCGGGAGAAAAATGGCTTCACGTACAAATGCAACAGAGACAAGTGGTTAGCAACATTAGTTCAGGAGCAGCAGTAGTTGTAGCACAGAAAGCATTTTCATCTAAACACACAAAAATAAATTATTACAAGCATATATTAGAAGTCTGGATTTGAAAATGGAGTTTCCATTACCTGTGAGCCTGATGTTTTGATTTGCAAATATTCACCAGGTTTCCCTCCTTCAGTTAGGGTGGCCATACTTTCCTCCTTTTGATCTGTGAACAAAAAAATACAAATAATCGTAATAAAATAAGTTCATTTTTTTGTGAACTGCACGTTACTTTCACATAGTTGTCTCAATCAACCCATCAATTCCCCAGGAAGGGAGGGGAGGAAAAAACAGAAACGTGGTTTGAAACCCGACCCAGTGGATACAAAGTAACACCCAAAAGAGGGTTGTCTCAAGACAACTCACTACTGTAGATTCTTGGTGTCAGGCTGATCAATTAGCAGAAAGCTTGTCACCAAGGTAAATTGACCTTTTCCCTCTTGTTTTTTTAAGGAGGGAGGGATAGAGGGAGGGTTACGTACCACTCATTCTGCATTGCTTAAGAAGGGAAAAAAATAAGGCCAATACAAAATGTAGGCAGAACAAGGCAGGGCTGGCCCTTTCTTTCCACGAATGGCTGTTTGCGTAGGACGGAATAATCAGGTTCCTCTTGATTGACGGAAATGGAGCTAGGAGGCGGAACCTCGAACCCGGCGACAGCACCAACGAACCCGGAGACTTAACGTTCCGAGCTCGATCCACAAGCTGATTGGATCTGTGGCCGTGGGACTGGAATGGCGGGGGCGGTGCGCAGAGCATGCTGGGGGTTGTAGTTTCTCTCCTGATAAACTCGCTGGGTGGCGGGGACGAGGACTTCAGCTCGTATGGCTGGGCTGTCACGCATGTGCGATTGGCGCAATCTGTATGGACGCGTTCCCCGCCCTAGTTTTGCCCTTCCCCCTCCCCCTACATCAGGGTAGGATGGGCGGAAGCAAACAAAGGCGGCACTTTGTGTGCTTTTGGCGGGTGGGCGTTTTTGGTGCACTGTATTTGAAGCGTCAGGGTTGCATTTCTTTCGATTCAGGCTTGTGATGGCAATCTCTAAAGTTTTTAGGAGGCATTTAAATCCTGGTTTAGATCAATGGAAACCACAGATGTTGTTTTGTAATGCAGGTACAGGAGGTTTTGTGTTGCAGATACTGAGTGGATGCAAATTTTGTACTGCAGGTGCAGAGTGGTTGCAGTTTTGTAAAGTAGGCAAATGAAATTGCAGAGGCTCTGGATGTTATTTCATTGTACTTTTGTGTTGGTGATACCTAAGGGCTGCAAATATTATATCCTATGTGATAAACCCATTAATTACAGTTCAGCCATGAGAATTTTTTTTAGATAACATTGAGTGATTGGAAAAGTATGTGCTAATAAGTAAAAGACAACACGCATTTGTTAAAGGATAATGGTCTTTGGTTAACTTGGTTGAGTTATTTGAATGTTGCGCGCGCGCGCGCGCGTGTGTATGTATACACTTCCAAAAACATTACAATAGCCCTGTTTCTAAAATATATATCTATATGATGAAAGGTATAGTAGTAGTGTGAATACTAAATTGGCTAAAGAACAGAAATCTCTGGTGGTGAAATAGATCTTTACTGTAGGTTAATGTGTTGTTCTCCAGGTGTTGATGTTTAGGAACAATGTTGACCAGATGGACCTTGGATCTATGGGGCATAATTTCAACGTCTGATAACGACAGAAACTCTGGATATAATAAATAGATAGGAGGGTGGTAGTAATAGACTATGGAAATACTTTATTTCAAACACAAGGCAGATTGAATGCAATGCAGAGAAATGTGAAATGATACATTTTGGTAGGAAGAATGGAGAGGAGTAATTTAAAGATACAGTTTTAAAGTTTTGATTAACTCTTCATTGGATGTGATCATTACTAGCAAAGCTAAGAACAGAAAGTCTTTGGTCGTGCACATATCTTTGTAAGTGATAGTTGAAATGGTTATTTCTTTCAGAAAAGCATTTCGAATCCATGGCATTGTTAATAGATATAGGTACTAAAGTAAGGAAGTTAAACTAAATAAGTCTTTGTGGACAGTGTTTAGATTTCAAATGAGGTGTTGTATTGAATTTTAGTCACCATGTTTCGGGAAGGATATTAAGATCTTGGAGACCAGGTGGGAGAGATTTTCTAGAATTGTACCGGAAATGAAGAATCCATTCTATTGAGAAACTAAGGTTGGTTTCCTTAGCAGTGAAATTTTACAGTGAGATTTAGTAGAGGTATTCAAAACCATGAACAGTTCAAGTAGAGTAATAAAAGTTTCCAGTAGCAAAATGCCTGGTATCAAGAGGGCACAGATTTAAGGTGATTTAATATTGAGGCACATGAACCAAAGGCAGCATGAGGAAATAGTTTATTACAATGCAAGCTACTGTGATTTGGAATCCATTCCCTGAAAGGGTTGTTGGAATAGATTCAAAAGTGACATTCAGAAAGCAATTATATAAATATTTGAAGGGCAAATTATGCCAGACAATGGGGTAAGGGTGAGATGGTAGAACTAGTTGGATAACTCTGCCAAAGAGCCAGCACAGGCATTCATTTGATGCCTTTGTGATGCAGAGTCATTTTTGTAATGCATATGTGGGGTGCTGGAGACAATTTTATGATGCAAGGAGGAGGATGAATGGATGAAGTTTCTAAAAAATGTGTGGAGAAATTGGCTGAATATACAATGTGTGAGCATGATGTTTTCCTATTGTGTGTGTATATGGGACAACAGTATTATAACATGTCAGGGGAATGGAATTTTGTACTATGCTCAGGTGGAAAGGTGAAGGTGCAATTTTGACTGAGGTTGAGGGAAATATAAATGTTTACACTCCTGGAAATCAGTTTGGGCCACTGGGATGCTGTTTTAATCCAATCTTTAATGATTGCAACTCTAAAACCTGGATACATTTGAAAATACCATTTCATTGAATACTGAACAGCCAGTCAATGATGTGGAGGGAATTTTGAAGATTGGAGCTTCTGCAAATAAATTTTTGTGAAAATACTAACAGTTTTCATTGTCAGTGGCTGTAACGGACTAGTACTTTGCCTAAGTTTTAGACCATGTTGTTTTATTATACATATTTCTGCACAGTCCTGATTTTAATTCATGTTATACCGATTACATTTATATGTCACCTCTGCTATGCTTTAAGGGCTTTAAGCATAGAAAATTGTGTACTGCAATAAGTATCAAAAATCATCTAGATGTATGTTTGGCTATCTGGATGATAATGTGCTTTCTTTAATTAATTAGGTGGGTTCCACATTTAACTCAACCTCTATCCACAATGAATATTATGTTTATTCATACGTAATTTTACAGCACCTCTTCAGTAGGGCGTGTCGACTACTGATAATGACTACAGCATTTACTTTTAGAATTCTACCGTTGGCTTTTAGAATATTTGCTGTTTAAAAAAAAATTCACACTGAAACTGATAGGCAACACGATCAATTCAATTCTTTCTAATATTTCTTCATTAGTTGTCACATTACTAAAGTTCTTATTGAAAATAACTGCTGGAGTCACAAGAGTTGGGCTGGACTTGATTTGCAGTTGGCATGAAACTTCTGGCCAGAGTTGTTAATATTCTTCAAACTATTAGTTATTACTATTTGCATCTTTCAGAATGGAATTGGAAATGGATTTATTTCAGAATAGTATTCCAATACTATACCAGTAATGTGTGCCAAGTCATGGGTATGGAGATGGGTAGTCACATGGAATGAATTTCCTGAGGAAGTGGTGGATGTAGGTACAGTTACCATTTTAAAAGATATTTGGATAAGTACATGAACAGGAAAGGTTTGGAGGGATATGGGCTAGGAGGAGGCAGGTGGGACTAGTTTAGTTTGGGATTATGTTTGACATGGATTGCTGTATGACTCTAAGTAACTGCACATGAATAGATCAGGGTAGACTATGTGACAAATGTAGGAATTGAACCAGTTAAGAGTGTTTTTAAAAAAAGAGGATTATTGAGGGAATATGTGCCCCACTCCATGGTTGTGTTTGTGTGCATGACAGCTCACTTGTTATTTCTTTGAGTGGCACTAAGCACAATTTTTGAATTGAGCTGTACCAACATCATCACAAAAAAAGTCATATTGTTCGGCAGCCAGGTGATCTAGAAGTAAAGACACTGATGCTTTGATTCTGCATCCAGGATTCCCTTCTATGTGACTCCTGAACCACTGACCTTGGTTGTTTCTTTATCTCAAAAAGCACTTGCACACAAACTTGCATGGGCGAATCAACAGCTGAGTTGCTCCGATTATTTGGACCTCTGAGACCTTTTTTTTTGCTAGAGATATGTGTATGTATGGTGGAAGAGTTATCTGTGCGGGTGTTATCTCTGAACAGGTTGTTAGGAAAAGATAATTGACAAAAATGGAATGATGCAATTTGCTAAATGTTTAGCTCTATAACACAATTTATATGGCAAGATGTTAAGCATGTGGCTAATGTTGCATGATTCAAACAAACTTTGCCCTTCAAGCCTACTCTACCATTTTAAAAAATCATGGCTGATCTGGTGTGGCCTCAATTCCACATTCCTGCGTTTCCCCCATTAACCTTTCACTCCCTCACTTAACAAGAAACCATCTCTGCTTTTAAAAATATTAAAGGACTCTGCTGCCACAACCTTATTGGGAAGAGAATTTTAAAGTCTTACAATCACAATTTGAAAAAAAAAAGTTCTCCTTAATGCTGTTTTAAATGGACAACCCTTTTATGTTGAAACAGTGACTTCAGTTCTAGATTCTACCACAGAAAGAAACATCCTACATGCATCCTGTCAAGACCCCTTGGGATCATATATAATTCCATCAAGTCACCTCTCACCCGTCTAAACAGCTGACATAAACCTAGCCTGTCACACCATTTGTTATAAGATAACCCACCCAATTCCAAGTATCAGTAATTGTTTCCAATACATTTGCATCCTCCCTTAAATAAGGAGACCAATATCATACACAGTACTCCAGATGTAGTATCACATGACCTGAAGGATGACTCTCATCTTTTGTATTCGATCTCTTCTGAATGAACAAAAGCATCCTATTAGCTTTCTTAATCATTTGCTGCACTTGCATGCTAACCTTTGACAAAGTATACCCTACGACTCTGGTTCTCTCTGCATCTCAACTCTGCAATCTTTCTCCATTTTGGTGGTATGTTTGTTTTTAATTCTTCTTGCCAAAATGGGCAATTTCACATTTTCCCACATTATTTTCCATTTTCCAGATCTTTGTCAAATCACTCACCTATCCTGTCTACTTTCCCTTGGTAGTCTCCTTATTTCCTCTTCACAGCTTCCTTTCCTGTCTAACTTTGTGTTATTGACAAATTTAGCAACCATAATCATCAGTCCTTCACTTGAGTCATTTGTATAAATTGCCCCATCATTGATCGCTGTAGTGCATCACTGATTAGATGTTGCCAACCAGAATTTCCCTGAATATTTAAGGACCAATAAACAATATTGTCCAATAGTTTTATTTATAAATTCACTTTTTTGACTTGCAGTGATTGTACATCAAATTACTGTTTCCTAATCAATCAAAATTTTCTGTTTCTGTCATAATTCCTTTACACGCGAATGTATAAGTACATCGGGGTGGCACAGAGGTTAGCACTGCTGTCTTACAGTGTCAGGGACCTGGGTTCAATTCCAGCCTGAGGTGACTGTCTGTGTAGAGTTTGCACATTTTCCCCATGTCTGCATGCACTTCTGCCAGGTGTTTCCCTTTTCTCCCACAGTCCAAAGATATGCAGTTTAGGTGAATGGGCCATGCTAAATTGTCCCTTAGT